CAATTACTAGTTTAGATTATTTTAAATTATATAATACAATTTTTTACTATAAAATATTTATGAATAACTTGAGACTAATTCGTTATGATATTGAAATTGTGTGCCTTGGGTCTAAAATAGAGTCTAGACTGCCGCATCAACAGGACTCGGTCTACTTTTATTTACATTGGAGAATATATTTTTTTTAGCTTGAGTCTATTTTTTAAGTGGCATATAATTTTTTTGTGGTTGAAAAAAAAAATGTGGATGTTCTAAATGTAAACGGTTTTAGATAAATGTATAGATTTCAAGCATTCGAGTATCTTCCAAGAATATAATCAGTAAAGCACGCACGCGTTCAGATGGCGACCAATGAGTAAAGTTTATTTGATTAATTGCTTCTTAATTAATCAATATTGTTTTAAGAATAAAACCAAGAAATTACATAGCTGATCAAAAGAGTAAATCAAATATAATAAGTATATATATACATTCAAAGGATAGGGTTTTAATTTGGGGCATGCAGCCCTATTTGGGTCACCCTATATTTCTTCCAATATGCATATATATATGTGTACAACTTTTTTGACCGAAATTTTTCATATTAAAAATTATTATATAAAGACTTTGATTAGAATTTGTCACATAATCAACTAACATAAAGCTTTTTATAGAGATGGATTTTAATTCAAAAGTGTATTTTGGCCGACATGACATGACATACCTTATCATCAATCGAAGTACTTCAAAAGTCCGAATAATTGGGACAACATATTTTTTTTTTGTACAGGGACTTTTTGGTTTCCGGATTCACAGAGGAACCGACTAATCCGAAATCGAGCCGGGTAGAACTACAAGGGCGGTAAAACTCTCCCTCAAGAATTTTAACACTGCTGTATTCCCGTGGCTCGAACTCGAACAACATATTCAACAATCAGTCAAAGGTACTTAAACTACTTACATTCGTTTATTTGTGACGCGTTTATATATTCTGTTTTTATCTTATTTTATTTTATTTAATTTCACAAAGAATTAATAATATTAGAAAGAATATATGTATATCAC